GTTGTCATAAAACGCACGAGGAAGAATTAATTGCTACATCAAAATATTTTTATTGTGCGCGAACTAAAGACCAAAAGAAAGACATTAAAACAATGGAATATTCAACATATTTCGATCATGGAAATCCTTGTGAACATCCCTTAATACGTTTACTGGGGCAAATAAAATCATAATACTTCATCTGGTGCGGCGGCGGGCCTAAATGCGCCCCCAATATTTCCGCCAGTTTGGCAGGTCTTTACAAATACAAATGACAAAACTTGGCAATCTTGCTTCCTTGATGTTGGCAGCAACTTATGATCTCTTTCCCACATTAGGGTTTTTTTTTTAAATATTTACCCCCTAAGTTTAATGGCATTAAAATATATAGCCTAAAGCGTGACGCAAGTGTAGGGCTTTTTATTAATAAAAAATTATTCAAAAATATGCTGTAATTGTTGACATCTTAGGCAACAAAGAAGTGTATGTTTACGCTTTATTATAACAGTAATGTATACACCTGAGATAATCGTTTAGCAGCGAGAGGGAAATAGTTTTCTTCGTGTCCATCAACTTAAGTACTGTGTCAGGCCGATATCGGCCTGTTACGCAGTAAAATTGTTAACTGGTTTCCATCGAAATATTGGGCTACATATTAATATTTTCCCCAGAACGAAGTCCGCGGTGCACTTGGATCGTTTCTACAAGCTTTCATCACTCTCGGCTTCTTACTGGTGTACGGAATAGGTCCCTTCGTCTCGTACAACGTAGTGGCGTACGTCGGCGTCGCGTTTGTAGCCGTGTTCAGTGTCACATTCTACTTTATGCCGGAATCACCAATGTACCATCTTATTAAAAGTAAGTAAAGATAGAGAAGGTAAGGTGTAAAAGCATGTGCATGTTGAGGGATGAATCGCATGTAACAAGGAGAACGTTATGAGTGTGCACCGGTAGAGGTAGACATAGAGAGATGGATTGCGAGAAAGGTGACATTATCACCTACCGACCGAAAGTCTGATTTTAATCCCATTTTCTTTACCACCATTTACTTACAAGAAAATATTAAAACCTCTCCTCTCCTACCTTACGTTGCCTACCTTTAGTAGACGGAGGTAGCTATTGGCAATCGCTTTGCCGTTTTGGCTAATTCAGGTCACCTTGCGATTTAAATTAATTGCTAAATTACAAATAAAAAGATGTACAGAAAAAACATTTTTTGTAAGAAATTTTAAATTTAGAATAATCCTCTCTCCATTCAAATCCTTATCCTATTCTTCTATAAAAAGGTTGACAAAGACTGAAAATTCCGATACAAGTCGTACGCACGTATTTACTTGCCGTTTATCACACTTTCTTTGAATTAGACTTTGTACAGTACGTTTTCAGCTTATAAAGGTTGTTATATTGGAATAATAAATAAAATAACATTTAATCTTATCAACACAATTTGGAATAAGAGAAAAAAACAACAAGGTAATTAAAAAAGAATAAATAATAAACACGTAATTATATGACAAATAGAGTATTTAAAATGTGTATGTAGTGCTGACCGGTAATAATAATGATAACTTTTTTTAGGTGATCGGGAATCCGCTGCGGAATGCTTGATGACGATACGCGGTAAATCCCGCACTGGTGTTGAGACAGAACTAAACCAGATTGCGGCGGACGTTAACGCTTCTTTGGAGAAAACAGCTACTGTAAGTAAAATATCCAAGTATCCGGTCTTAATAACCAGTACAACTGCAGCGTCGGTGGCTCATTGGTTTAAGCACTTGACTTGTAATCTACAGGTCTTGGAAGGTCGTGGAATCCCACCGTGTACTAATGTGATATTCGATTTTTCGAATTTTCATATGTACATAATTTACCCGACGTTCTTACGGTGAAGGAAAACATCGTGATGCCTGCACATATCGGCGAAGAAATTCAAACATATGTATGAAGTCGACCAACCTGCAGTAGGCCAGCGTGGATGACTATGGCCTAATCACCCTAATTTAGGGTAGGCTCCGAGCCCCTCGGTGGGGACATATAGTGAGCTGGTGATGAACTGCAGCTGATGAGTTTAAGCCTATTTTAAGTTAGTGATTAGGTCTTAGTCTACATGTTTACTTTTAGAGCGGGCGCACACATTTGACTCAACTATTGTGCGATTGTCAATTTTTACGCAGCATTCAACTGTTTAGTTGCACAACTAAAAATCGAGTTTGGAGTCAGGTTTGCTCACGCTCCTTCCGTAAGAACGTCGGATAAATCTCTCTTCTTACTAATGTAATACGATAGTTTATATGGAAGTTTGTTAGAGTTTGTAGCCTAAACTACTGAAAACTAGTGTACATATAAAAATATTGTATTATGCGTATTGCACAGTCTACGTAGCGTAGTTTGGTAAATTTAATTCAATAGCGAATTTACTTGAAATATATCAATGGATTTGACAGCATAAATAATCAAAGATATTAAACAGATTCTCGACCTTTGCTATAATTTAGGATAAGTTTATTTACTAAAGAAATCTACGCCAATAACTGCACTCAGCAACAATATTTAGATAAGACCTTTGTTGGAACACAAATCTTGTATATAGAGGAAAATAAATTTTAACCAAATCTATACTATTAGAACAAAGCGTAAACACACACTAGTCTGTTGCGATAGATGTCAACAATCACATCATGTTTTCGAATAATTATTTCTTTAATGAAAATCCCTTTACTTACATCTTTAGCCTATATATTTTCACGCTATTAAACTTAGGTGGTTAATAATTTAGATAAAAACCCTAATGTGGGAAAAGAACCATAAGCTACAAGCTGCCAACATCGAGGAAGTAAGATTGCAATGGTTTGTCATGTCATTTTGACATTTGCAATTGATAATTTGACAAATGTAAACAATAAAATCAAATCTTCATAATTTGATGCGGATGAAACGGCATGCGAACAATTAGTATATCATAACCAGATCTAGCCCGAGACTCCTCCGAGATTTAAAATAAAAATGTAAACCTATGAATTCTTCCAGACTACCCTCTACATCTTGACATCGAGAACTGTTCAGCAGTTATGGCTACAAACTCTAACAAACATCCATCTAATATTAGTAATATTACTGAACTCTGATTCACTTTTTAAGTTTTTTTTAACAGTTGGCAGACGTGTTCCGCGGCAGTAACTTCAAGGCTTTCTACATTTCGTGCGCGCTGGTCTTCTTCCAGCAGTTCAGTGGTATTAACGCTGTTCTCTTCTACATGAACACCATCTTCAAGGCAGCGGGATCAGATTTAGATCCTTCTATTGCTACCATCATTATTGGTGCTGTACAGGTGTGTATTAACATACAGTAAACTCCACATAATGTCCCTCGATTTAACGACAAACTCTCTAAAGCGTTAAAATCAATTGGCTTTTGTTGGTTTAGCTACTAACACTATTTTGAAATAAACTTTTCTTTTTTTTCAATTCTGATTTATCTTACCTCCATTTAACGACAACTCTCTATAACGCCATAAAATGGACAGTCCTTTTAGTGTCGTTATAAAGAATTTACACTGTATTTATATAGCAGTCTAAATTACAGTTATATTTATTTAGTGTCTAGATTTCGAACGCGACTTCGTTTGCATGAAATTAAAAAGAAGTAAATAATTAGTCTAGTAATTGAGGAGCGTCTATAGCTCAGTGGTTTGAACACTTGACTTGTAATCTACAGGTCTTGGGTTCGAATCCCGCTGTACCAACGTGATTCTCGATTTTTCGATTTTCATATGTACATAATTTACCCGACGTTCTTACGGTGAAGGAAAATATCTTGATGCACATATCGGCGAAGAAATTCAAAGATATGTGTGAAGTCAACCAACCAGCTTGACCAGCGTGGTTGACTACGGCCTAGTCATCCCTTATTAGGGTAGGCTCCAAGCCCTTCGGTGGGGACGTATAGTGAGCTGGTGATGATGAAATAAGTAGTCTATGCATTCTTTGAGACTGCTCTACATCTATGCCTTTCAGCGAGATCCATTCAGTAGTTTAGACTACAAACTCTAACAAGCTCCATCTTAACTTTCATCTTTATAATGCTGGCCCTACGTTATTTAACCAATTCTTAAAGTGGTAAGAGGGATCGCATACCGTTGACTAAACTGTCGCACAACTGTTTAGTCTCGCTTTGATTCCTATGAGCTTATGGAGGTGTGCACACTACTCGATATTTATTTGAATCGGCTGCGAAATAATCGACAATCGCAGTGGTGCGATAGTTTAATCAAAGGTGTGCGCCCACTCTAGGTGTTTAAGGGATATTTGATTATGGGGAAATCTGGGGTTCATAAGTTGAAAATGCGATTATTATATAACAATGTTTTTATCAGGTTGTAGCGTCAATGATAACGCCTATGGTTGTAGACAGACTTGGCAGAAGGATTTTATTGCTGGTCTCTACTTGCGGAACTGCAATTGGATTGGTAAGATTGTTATGTTTTATTGCTTTTTACTCTTCAATAAAAACAATAAAAAAATAGCTCCTTACGTGTAAATAATTTTTATTTTATCCGACTCGAAGGACCAATTTGAATTGTCTTCATTTGTATTACTTTTTAATATACCTTTATTAATAGACTCATTTGTAAATAACACTAAATTAAAAATTACCTGTATGTCTATTCAAGTAAAGTTTTTTTTTAATTATGATTCCTATACTTTGTTCTTAAACCATCAGCGAAATAACCTAAGATCCAAGAAAACTGGTACAAACTGTAATGAAGGGAGTATTTCCAGGCTCTTCTAGGCATGTACTTCTTGCTGAACTCACAAAACAGTCCAGTGGTGTCCAGCATTGGGTTCCTCCCCATCCTCTCTCTGGTGCTGTTCATCGTGACGTACTGCTGGGGGCTGGGGCCGCTGCCGTGGGCGGTGATGGGGGAACTCCTGCCTATTGAGGTTAAAGCAGTCGCCTCACCGATTGCTACTGCTTTCTGTTGGATCATGTCTTTCTTGGTTACTAGGCAAGTTTTCATATTTTAAAATTGTTTTAGACATGTTTTTTTTATTGATCGCAAAATTAAAGATTTAGCGATATGTTAACAGTAGAAAAGGTTTCTCAGGACTTTAAAGTATTTTTACAAGATTTTATCTTTATCCCTTTGATCGCATTTTAATGATGTTTCTGTTATGTTGTGGGATCATTGATTTTACTTGACGAATATATTTTTTATTAGCTGTTACTCGCGACTTCCGAGTGAAATATTTATTTTAGTAATAGCCTATGTTACTCAGTTATAACGTAGTTATTTATTGGTGAAAGAATTATTAAAATCAGAACAGTAGTATTGGAGTTATTTCAATATAACTAACATACAAAAAAAAAAATGAATTTCTCCTCTAATCTTACTTCTTACTGATATTAAATGCGAAAGTTTAGATGGATGGATGTTTGTTAGAGTTTGTAGCATAAACGACTGAATGGATTTCGATTAAAATTGTCATAGACGTAGAGGACAGTCTGCCAGAACAAGTGGGCTACTCTTAGCTAGTATTATACACAAGCTTTCGCCCGCGACTCCGTCCGCGTGGAATAAAAAATAACAAAGCGAGTAGCCTATGTGTTCTTTCAGACTATCATCTACATCTATTCTAAAATTCATCGAAAATCGTTCAGCAGTTTAGGTTATAGACTCTAACAAACATCCATCCATCTATCTTACCTTTCGCATTTATAAAATTTGTCTGATTTCTATAATACAGGTTCTTCGAGCCAATCGCAGAAGCAGTAGGTATGTATGTCGCCTTCTGGATCTTCGGTGTTTGCTGCGTGTGCGGCTTCTTCTTCACATTGTTCGTGGTGCCCGAGACCAAGGGCAAAAGTCTCCAGGAGATCCAAGATATATTGGCTGGAGGGTAAGCATTTATAGCCAAAGAATTAAATTTACTTCCCTCTTTAGCATCGAATATTACACAGCAAAATGGATTGTTCCCAACCGTCACCCCGCTCTGTCCCCACATGAGAATAGTTCCATCTGTCCCACCTTTTCGTCCCACTATTGGTGATATAAGGTGACAGATGGAACCGTTAATAATGGATAGGAAATTAATGTCCTTGACTACTGTTAGATTGTCTTAATGTTTGAACTTTTTTGTTCCAGGAAATCAAAGCCTGAGAAGGCTTAAGCTTGAATAATCCGTGGAGTTTGGAATAATAAAGCGAATTATAGATAATTTATTAGCGAAATATTAACACATTTTTTCTATAGTGGGTTTTGTGTGTGATCAAATATATTTAGAATGCTTTATTTTTATATAAGACTTACAAACATAATTAAGAGTTACCAAAAAAAATTTTTATATATTAACAGTATTAATTATTTTGACAGTGCTATATTTATTTAAGTCAATAAAACGCAAACCGATGTTTAACATAGGTCTTTTTTTAGTCAAATATATTTTGTAGTCAATGTAGAAACTAAAACACGATGTAAAATATACTGTATGAATTAAAAATCAGGGCAAATTGACCAAAAGCTTTAGGACCAAATAATAATAAAATTATAAAAAACCTAGTGAAACGACATATTTTCTTTAGTCTGCTTGAAAAATATTAACCCAGTGTATGAACAGTTACATTTTTTACAATTAAAAAAGGAGTTTGTCATACTGATATTTTAAAAAAAGAATTTTATGGCTTGGTTACTAGACATTTGAGCCAAATAAAAAAAAATCTGATATTTACATATTTTAATTTATGGGTTTCATATAATTTTACAGGTAAAACTATTGTTTTTAGACATATCTTGTTGAAATATTATTTATTTTTTAACGACTAGTACCAAAGTACAAAGTTAGTCGCTAGGTAAAAAACACCACTTTTGTGATATGTGAATGAATTTATATTGTTATTGTAAATAATATAAGTTAAGATAATCGATATAATTGTTTTAAATAAATGTTTTATAATTTTATTTGTATGTTTTATTAATAAAATACCTTAATTTTAAACCCATCTATACTATTATAATAAAGCGTAAACACACATTTCTTTGTTGCCTAAGATGTCAGCAATTACACCATATTTTTGAATAACTCTTCTTTTAATAAAAAGCCCTACATTTCCGTTACGCTTTAGGTCATATATTTTCACGTCATTAATCTTAGGGCTAAATGTTTTAGATAAAAACCCTAATGTGTGAAAGAGACCATAAGTTGCTGCCAACATCAAGGAAGCAAAATTGCCAAGTTTTGTCATGTTTTGTCATTTTGACATTTGCAAATGATAATTAGACAAATGTAAACAATAAAATGACACTTGTATAATTTGACGCGGATGTAGTCGTATGGGAACAGCTATATTAGAAAAAAATTAAAAAGCGATGGCCAATACAATTATTAAAAAATACTCTCCGCGTTCAGAAGCAAATGAAAGAAAGAAATCTCAACATGTTCTTGTACAGAAATTTCTTTATAAGTTACTTAACACATTGTTATGCTATCAAAGATTAAAATTATTTAATTCTAAGTAGAAATAAAACTTCGTTTTTTAACAAACTATTTATTTACATTTGTTATGTTTAATGTTACTTAAATAATTTAAAATGTAAGCATGACGAAACACACATCATTGGGTTAAGAATTTCGAAATATTAGCGAAATCTATCAAATAAAAAAATACACTCTTGAATGCTGAAAAATTGTTCAAACATGATTAACTACAAAATTTAATTCTATTATCTTTACAAGAAAAAGGCACTTTTAGTAATATAATTTTTGCTGCAAGTGTATTACATATTGAATTTTTAGGTTAGAAAAATATTTTCATACTTTTTAAAAATAAATTATGTAAAGGTGAGATTGTCTCTGCCAAAAACAAACTCCTGACTCTAAAATGTAAAAATATAGTTAAAGCATTAAATAAGACTTGAAAAATCGAGATTCTTTTTAAAAACATTATTGTTCACTTATATAAGCTTAATAAACCATGTTTTTTTTAATCGTTTTGACAAAAACTTAAATAAACCTTAAAAAACTAATTTAATTAGTCAGTCACATAAATCACATTAGTAGATGGTTACAGATGAAAAAAAAATTGTATTTTAGTCAATTGTTTTTTATTTCTCTTAAAATAACAAGGCACTATTCGAACTCCTTCGATATCTCGTCCATAGAAGTGAGTACGTCACAAATACTGGCCGCATACAATCTTATATCATCATTCTTTTTAATTTTCAAACTGGCACAATACAATTTTTTATACATATCTGTCATTTTGTCATAATCTTTATTTGATTTCGACCTACAATATTGTATTATACTTTTTAGTATAAAATGCAACCTATTTTCGTATAAAGAAAGAAGACTGTGTTCGTTCTTTATTGTCTTCTCGTCAACGTCTTCGGGTTTCGGTGGCTCCTTCTCTTCTGGATCTTTGTTTTTTAGTAATGTCATTACAGAATGACATTGACGTAAAAGTTGGACTGCGGTTTGTAATGATTTCAGTTTTAGGTTAGGTGACACTGAAAAAGAACATTTTTTTTAATAATAATACAAATGCGAAAGTTTAGATGGATGGATGTTTCTTCATGAAATTTTTCATAGATGTAGAGGATAGGCTGCTTATTTTTGTATTTTTTATTCCACGTGGACAGGGTCGTAGGCAAAAGTTAGTATTTAATATTCAATCATTTAGAGAACCTAGCAAGAAAATTTTCGAGAAAGTATTAACTCCTTATTATCTGACAGTACGATAGATTCAGAAACGTCCTAATAGAGGGAATTGTGTTTTTTTATAAAATTCCAAAAATAAGCCTTCCTATTTTTTCTTCTTAATTTTAAATTCATTTTCATACAATTTGAAATATCAACAAAGTTTTAATATTAGCAAAAAGCGTACCAAATATTTGCAAAAGTAAATATTGACAATAAAAAAACTCAGTGGCCACAACTTTTATTAGCTTGAGATTATTCTTTGTTTTATCTGTTTTATTTGTCTATGGCTTTATTTTTATTTTAATAGCATGTTAAGTCTTAAAATATCACGGCTGTCGTTTTATTATTTGTTTAATGTCAAAACACTTTTTTATTGCAAATACAGATTTGTTTATTGTAAAAGTGTCGACGTGGCATATTACGCTACTATAAACAAAGATTAAATATTATTATGGAAAGATTAGTTTTGCTCGCGACTTCGCCCGCGTGAAATAAAAAATAATCTAACTAATATTATAAATTCGAAAGTTTAGATGTATGTTTGTTAGAGTTTGTAGCCTAAACGGTATAGATCTCGATGAAATTTGGCATAGATGTTGAGGATAGTCTGGAAGAATACATAGGGTACTTTTTAATTCCACGCGGACAGCCTCGCGCGAAAGTTAGTAAAAAATATAGCCTATATTACTGATAATGTATCTTTCTAACGGAGAAAGATTTTTTGAAATCTTTTTGTAGTTTTTGAGTAAGTTCAATATGTCTGTATTAATATCCGAAAGATAATATAAAAATCTGTCATATGAAGCTTTTTTTAAATCGTTTTTTATACTGAGATTTTGCATATTTGATTGGATCGTATTCACCGGGGCAAATAATTTACCCGCACTATAATCATCGCCACGTCAAAACCGGTGAGTTGGCAGTGCGAGATTTTATTGCATCAGATTAAAACGTCTCGTCTATATTTGCTTATCAAATCACTTAACGAGTTTGCTTTTTTATTCGACATTTTATTGACGTATGTTTTACACAGTTGAAAAATAACTGCAGGATGACATTTAGAAAACGATCTAATGCCCGGTTTACACTTGGCTAGTACAGTCGCGCCAGTTCACTGGCGCCAGTTAGCGCTCACACTGTGCCAGTAGATAGTTCACTTATTGAGTGCTACTAACTGTGGGCTAATGTGAACCGCGCATAAGGGTGCAATTTCATTGGAGTAAGATTACCATGATATGATCTTAAGGGGTGTAAACGATAAAATAAAATTATGCGGATAAAGCCGCACTGGACCTAGTCTATACTAATATAAAGTGGAAAGATTTTTATTTTTGTATGTATTGTAATAACTAAAAAACTACTGGGACTTTCAAAAAATCATTCACCATTAAAAAGCTGTGTTATCAGTGAGTAACATAGGCTGCGCTGTTTTATTATTTTTCAATTTCACACAGTAATCATGGGCAATTTCCTATAAAAATGGGAAAGAAGAGTGGATTTGATTGGAAGAGACGCAATGGAAGGGGAAATATCTTTATGTGCGTCTCCTCCTACGTCTATAAGTTTAATGGAAGCGGTTTCTTCGCCATTTTAACGGAATCAGGTAACCAATTCGTTTGTCTATTTATGATATAAAAAATCAAAAAGTATCAATTGAAATAAACAAAAACAAAATATTCTCAAAAAAAACAGTACACTAAAAAGTAACGAAATAATTACTTGAAAATAGTAAACCTACCTTATTGTAACTGTTA